GGTTTAGCGAAGAAAATGTCAACTTATAACAGTGTGTAACATGGGAGGATCTATTGGCAGAAAATAGCTACCTTTGTATACACAAAACAAGAATTGTGTTTATAATGTCAGTTTTTTTAAAACAAGCCTGTGCTTGTGGATTCAGGAGCAGATGAGAGTTTCATCGACCTGTCTTACGTGTTAGAAGCCAACGCCCTTGACGGTCGACTAATCTGCAAGGTCACTCATCGCACTCAACCCATTCAGCTAATAATAAACGGTAACCATTCTGATTTAATCACTTTTCATCTATTTGATTCAACATCCACTAATTCTGGGGTTGACGCGGCTTACTAAACATAACCCATATATCGATTGGATCACTGGCAAAAGTTGGGAAAAGACTGTTCAATCACCTGTTGCATGTCTGTTTCTGCCTCCAAGCCACCTGAACGATAAGAAAAATAAAACCCTCCGTCCCTGCACTGACTAGTGCCATCAAAAACTCTCCTCAGCCTCTGAACTGCTACAGGAACTAAGATCTTTTCTAAACTATATCTTAGAAATGCTTACTATTTGGAGAGGATTAGGGAGGGGGTGAGTGAAAAACTGCATTCAATACTCCCAGTGGTCATTATGAGTATTTGGTTATGCCTTTTGGTCTCACAAATACCCCAACTATGTTCGAAGCGCTTGTCAATGATGTTCTCCGTGACATGCTCAACTTTTTCGTGTTTGTGTATTTGGACAATATTCTCATCTTCTCTCCAGATGAGGAAACACACTCACCACGTCTGACAAGTTCTTCAACGCCTTGAGCATCATCTAATTATGAAAGAAATGTGAGTTACACAAATCCACGGTCTCCATCGTGGGGTTCATCATCATTGCTGAAGACATCCAAATGGATCCTGAAGACTAGCTTCACCTCTGCTTGAGTGCTCACCCTTTCCGACCCCAGTTTACAGTTTGCGGTGGAGTTGGATGCCTCAGACATAGGCATTGGAGCAGTGCTTTCCCAAAGATCCTCCTCCGATAACAAACTGCATCCTTGCGCCTTTCTGTCTCGGAATCTGTCACCAGCTGAGAGAAATTATGATGTTGGCAATCGGGAACTACTGGCGGTTAAGGTGGCACTGGTGGAGTGCCGCCACTGGAGGGATCAACAAAACAACAAACATCCATTCCTAGTCTGGACTGATCACAAGAACCTAGAATACATCAAATCTGCAAAGCGTCTCAACCCTACACGAGCCAGGTGGACTCTTTTTTTTCACACAGTTCAACTTCACTCTATCATATTCTCTTGTCCTGGTTCCAAGAACTTTAAACCTGACTCCCCCAGAATTCCCTCTTTTGTTATTCCTCTCTCCTGTGTGGTAGGAGCGGTAACCTGGGGAAGAGAATAGGTTGTTCACCAAACCGTCTTTTTGTGACTGTTACTCTATATTCCCAGGTTATCTATTGAGCCCATACCTCCTGTCTCTCCTGTCACCCTGGCATTGGGTGGACCATCTTCTTTATTAAGCAGCTGAGAGACTAAATCAAGATCTCCTGCCTCATCTCTCAGAATCACTCATCCTGGAGCGAATATCTTATTTGGGTTGAGGATGCTCATTATACTTTACCCTGTTCATCTACTGGTCTCTCCCCTTTCCAGTGTGTCTACAATCGGACCCAGGACATCATACAGACCTTTGAAGAAGATGTGGCTTTCCACAAGGGATCTTCTGCTAAGGGTGGAATCCTGAAAGCTGGCGCCATGGTTTGTGGGTCCATTTTCCATCTCCATGGTCATCAATCTGATGGTAGTACATATCCAGCTTCCCAGATCCATGAGGATTCATCGCACTTTTCATGTTGCCCGACTCAAACCAGTTAAGGAGAACTTGTTAGGCTTAAGATAATGTTTTTGATATTCCTGGATATTTTCAGATGAAATATGAGGGTGGACTTCTTCAGCTAAGACCTGACCACACATACATCCAGCTATGGTTGTCATGGTTCTGTCTTTATTGTTTGTCTTATTTTGAAGTTCATTTGTGTTTGCTCTTTTATTTTGTGTCTTATTTTTCTGATCCGTTCACTTCCTGCCCATGTGTGTTTCTCGCCTATTGTAATTGTTTGCTCTGCCCTAATCACCTGCACATGTGCCTGATTACCCCCACACCTGTTTAGTAGACAAATTGATTTATCCTCTAAATACCTCGAATTGTGCTATTGAGTCCAGTTTTCTTGGTCTGGTCTTAACAATAGTACAGTAATGTGCTAGCTGACAGATGTTGACACACCTAGCAGTGTAGTAGCATTTGCTGTAAAATTTGTCAACCATGTATCTATATGTTACTAAAAGGCTTGCAACAGAGCTAGTCGTAATAATTAAATCACCACTGTAAATACATCAAGATTTTTAAAAAGAAAATAATAATAGGTACTATTTAATGTAAAAATTGAACATAACACAGCAAATGCAGGTAATAACTCAAAGACTAAATATATTTTTTTACCAAACAAACAAAAATCAATGCCTTGTGGTATCCTTTCGTTTTTGTAATAATAGGCTGTGAAAAATTTTCCTTTTGTCAGGTTTGCATTCTTATAACCATTCTTTCCTAAATAAATATTTATAAGTTTATATTTTATAGTTTCATGCTGTCACTTACATAAACCACGTTTAATTCTTTTTTCACAACATAGAAGCTTTGCACTTTCACAGGGAACACAGCATCAATCTAGATATGTAATACTTGTGACATGTCATATATGTTGTTGGACGGAGATATGGACGAGGACAGGGAGGATACAGCATGATCTCACGTGGCCCTGCTACACTTTGTATCACTCCTGCTGCATTCTACTGGTGTAACACTAGAGGGGGATGCTTAACAGGATATGGTATAACAGGCCAGCTGATTGTTGGTTTATTGTGTGTATGTGTGTTTGTATGTTTGTATAAATGACATTTCAAGGCTTACCCTCTGCATATTTGTACCTTTATTATAAAGGAACACGTGCACTTACTATTCCCTATTCTCCCGTCACATTTTTCTGAAAGAATGAAGCCTATGTGAATTTCAAGTCCTAGTACACTAAAATGGTTTTGATAAATTATAAGGACATTTTCCTACTTCATATGTATCTTAAGGACGCAAAGACCTTGGAACAAGTGAAAGCAGATGGACACACACAAATACACACACACACTGTAGAAACACAGGAAGAATAAATACAGCTAAGAAACCTTTTAGAAAAGACAGGACCAAATCCTTCACGCATGAGTCACCTTCTGTTTGAGATTATTTATGCATATTATTTATTCATGTTCTCATCTTGATATTCCCATATGTCTAAAGGTCATGGCGTATCAACAGTTTTAGAAGCTAAAAAAAGTTAAGGGATCACCAACATCATTAAAATTAGAGAGAAGTTTGTGTCCAATCATAGCCTTAGCGACCGAAACAGGGCTTATCGAGCTTTGGATTTTTCCACATGCCAAAGCGTAAGCAAAAACACAAGAGAAAAAGTATAAGAAAAAGGAATGGTTTAAAATGTGTGTTTGTCCGTAAACCGCAAACAATAGCATGACAGACTAACTAGCTTACTACCTACAGTGGCAGCCATGTGTTACTTCCACAGCCAAAGAGCACATCATTAACTAACTAATGCTACATAAATTTATGTGGTGATATTAATAATAATAAAAAAATGTTAATAATTAGCACATCCGCTTCTGTAGTAGTAGTAGTATATCCCCACTGTGTGGGTGGGCTGATTATGGCAGCTGGAAACAATCAAAAAATAAAAAATAAAACATCAAGCTGGAGCCAAGTTGTGGAGTAAATGAAAAAAAAAGAAAATAAATACATTTATTAAAAATGTTTTTTGAGAGTTTGATCTGCTATTGTTATTGGAAACTGCATTATATGCCGAGAACAGAAAGCCTGACAGACATAGGAACAGTAACTAAGGGGGCGTGTTGACACTGGACAAAACTGTTGGACAGACTTACCAACGAACTGAATTTCATCCCTAGAGCCACAGCACCAGTGTGGCCAAATGTTAAGCTGCAGCTGTTTTACTCATGAGCTTCTGTGTATTTGGCTGTTGACAGTAGTTACTTTCATTGTCAGACAGTCATGCATACCTGCCTGAGGTTGAACATCTGCACAGTCTGTCATTTCAAGTCAGGTTATGCTATTTATGCAATCTCCTGATCCATGGTCCTTGGGAACCCTTCCGTAATGGCTTGTTTACAACTGTTGAATACTACCAGGTATATACATTGGAGATCAGTTCTTCCAAATTGTTACATTACAATGGCAGGTGGTGTACGAAGTGTGAGGAGTGGGATGGGAAAATCACTCCCAAATGTGTTTCCTCTTCTGTAAGGCAGAGGGGGAAAGAAGGTCTGTTGTCTCTACTTTTCAAATTTGAAATGTCATTACAGTCAATCACACAATACAGGTGTTGCTATTAAGCTGTTTATTTTGTCAGACAACTTTGAAATCATAAAATAGAGATTTTATGGACATCTCAGTGCAGCAGTATAGGACTAACATTCATAAGAAAAATGAAATTAATGCTTCTTCAGTAAAATCAATACAAATATTAGATTCAACTTTATTGTCATTGTGCAGAGTACAGGTACAAAGGCAATGAAATACACTTATATCTAACCAGACGTGCAAAAGAATAGTATTATTTACAGATGGGTACAGGTATAAGTTAGTACTACAGCAGTGATGTTATACTTAATAACCTGGATATTCCTGATGGTAGCTTGGCTTTGCTGTGGACACGTCAGTTTGTTCTCTGCCGAGTCACCAGACTCTGCTTCTTCTTAGTGAACTACATAACTTTCCACTGTGTATCTACTGTCAAGAACACCCCCAGCTTGACCTTTTGATTTCCACCGTCTGTGTCTCTTTGCTCAGAGAACCTGAAAAAATAAGGCTTTAGATTTAACGCTTTACTTTTGAAGCTCACTTCTTGAATTATTAATGCCTAAATCTTGTCAAACAAGGATGTGCATTAACATCTTAACAGAGTCATCTTCATCGCATGCTGATGGTGCCCCACTGCCTCTCTTTTTTTTCCATGCCTTTCTTTTTTTATCTTTTCAAGGCAGGTAGTGTAGGATTCAAATGTACCACCGACTTATTCACTGTGGCACCTGAAGAGCTCCATTTCAAAATAAGATACAGAAAAAACACAACTCAGGAGGAAGCGGATACATAATAAAATAAAACACAAACAAACACAATGGGAAATCAGAAGTCACCAAAACGATATGAAATATAAAACTAAAAAAGGCCATAGGTTGTGATTTTGTATTGTCACTTGACACTCTTATGTGCATGTGGAGGGTGAACAATAATACAAGTTCAGAATCATATAAGACACAATATTAAAGGTCCAGTGTGTATGGATTTAGTGGCCATCTAGCAAAGCAGTTTAACTGGAACTCCCTCACTTCATCCTCCCCCTTCCAAGTGTGAAAGAAGAAACAACTGTGGCCCATCTAGAGCAAGTATTTGGGTTTCTCTGTCCTAGGCTACTGTAGAAACACGGCAGTTTAACATGGCAGCCTCAACGCTCCCCACATGCATCAATGAGTCTTGGGCCACCCATGACCCTGTCTCGGTTCACCACTTTTCCTTCCTTGGACCACTTTTGATAGGTACTGACCTCTGCAGACCGGGAACACCCACAAGAGCTGCAGTTTTGGAGATGCTCTTTCATTCTAGCCATCACAATTTGGCTTGTCAAAGTTGCTTAAAACCCTGACGCTGCCCATTTTTTCCTGCTTCTAAACACATCAACTTTGGGACAAAAATGTTTCATTTGCTGGGGGCC